GAGGGTGAGGAGGATTCACCAGAGACAGAGCGGGGATCAGAACAGCAGAATGACTGAAATACACTGCTGAGGGAGCAGCGGGTGAGACAGGAGAGGTCTGCTGTGCCATGTGGGTTGCTCCACAGTTGGTGGGGATCAAACTGTCACTGCAGAGGCTGCGGACAGCTTCACAGCACTGTGCTCAACAGCCTGTGCCATCTGGGAAGCCCCATTAGGCCTATTTTCTTATTCTTTTTCATAACACCCTGCTCTTTTCCCTCATCCCACTTATCACTATCTATAAGCTTTCATTTATTTTTATAGTCATTTAATGTCTCCATTCCCTTCTGTACTTCAAGTTTCATAAGGGCAAGAATTAAGTCTGTTTTATTACCTGTCCCTGCACACTATAGGCCTATAGTTTATACCAGTTGAGTGAATAGTAAAATGTCACATTTGGTTGACCAGGGATCTTGCTTTCGTACATTAATCTACTCCCACCCCCCAATATCTCAGCAAGCAATATTAAATTACAATCTGTATATCTGCAACACAAAGGCGAAGGCAAGATCTCCCTTAAAATTAGTTCTTAAGGGCCTCCCGGTGGCGCAGCGGTTGAGCGCTGGCTTGCAAAGCTGCCGGCGACCTCTGCGGCGCCGGTTCGATCCCCGGCTGCTCCCGGCCACCGGAGGAGGGTCCCACATGGCGCGCAGACCTCTCCTGCCGCCCGCTGCTCCCCTCAGCAGTGTACTTCGGTCCTTCTGCCTGCTCTGCTCCCTGCTCTGGCTCTGGTGAATTCTCTCACCCTCCCGCGCTTCTGACTGTTACCCAGTGCATGTATAAACAAAACACGAAAAACAACAAATAAATAAATAAAAACATGCCTCTATTTAAAAAAAAAAAATTAGTTCTTAAAATGTCAAAGTCATAGCTTAAAGGGGACTCACAATTATGTATGGAACACTTACTTATGTGATGTTTATGATAATATTGTAAGTGGCACTGAATGTGTGCCAACACCATGCTAAGCAATCCATGTGCTTTATTTCACTTAATCCTCACAACCATTCGAGGTGTTAGGTATGATCCCATTTTATAAATGAGGGAACACAGTCTAGAAAGAGCAAGTAATTTATTCAGAATCTGACACAGACAGTGGCAGACTCAAATTTGAATCCAGATTTATTTGTTTTTACACCAAAGAAAAAAGAAACGTTACAGTAGCCTTTGAGGAGGGCTAGATATGAAACAGAATTGCTAAAATTTGGGATGAATACAGATAAAAAGGGTCAACAGGACCAATAAAAGCCTGTATTGTGCAAAAACAGAACAAATTAAAATTTATTTCAGTAAGTTGCTACATTTGAAAAAAGGAAAAGAAATATTTCAAGTGATGAATTGGTTAAATTAGTGTACCTAACTTACTACAAAAAGGGACAGTAGAAAATACTATTTTTAAAGATTTATTTATTTATGCATACAAGAACTAGGGTACAGGCCAGAGGTGTGGGGGTTGAGAGGATTCACCAGAGACAGAGTAGGGAACTGACCAGGCAGACTGACCGAACTATACTGCTGAGGGGAGCAGCGGATGAGTCAGGAGAGGTCTGCTCCACCACGTGGGTACCTCCCTGGGTGGGGATCAAACTCATGTTGCAATGGCTGCAGATTGCTTCATAGGTTGCGTCTTAACCCCTTGCGCCACCAGTGAGGCCCAGAAAATATTATTTTATATTAAAAAGCAGAAGGTAATATTTTTGGTATAGACATAAATGTTAAACAAAGTAGACAGTTTGGGGATGGAGAATTGAACTAAGCAAGAGGCAGATAGAGAAATTGATATTCAAGGCCCCCAGTGAGTATTAGTGCAGCACACTGCTTCTCAGATTGATTGACACCAAAATTAGTATTCTGCAATTTGTAATTAGATGTAGGAAGCCAGAGCACTTTGGAGGCATTTGATGGGTTCTCAGGCAGGCAGCTTAATTGGTAATGAGATTTACGTGTTGATGTTAGAGCAGCAGATTCAAAGTTGAAGGGTGATATACTCCTACCTGTTCTCTTTCTAAAGAACAGACTACTTTGTGTATATGAAAGTAGGATTAGACACATTAGGAATATCTCTCGCTCTATACACACATATAACTAGATACAAATATTCTAGTAAATTTTTTAAGAGTTAAATTAGTATAGAGTTCAATACAATATTGATTAAAATAGAATGAGTCATTGAATTCCCTTTTATGTATTTCCTTAGCTGTTATTAATACTCAAACGCAATGACAATTAGGTGGCATTTGCAAATAGGCATACCCTACTTGCTGACAGCTATTAATTGTCCTTGTTAACAAGATCTAATATATTTATCTCATGCAAAATCTTACTAAATCCCAAATTTCATTTTCCTGCTCAAAATAATTTTTAGCATAAAAATTCACTTACAGTTGAAAATTCCAGGTCACAATGAATGTCTTTAGGTGCTGTAACTGTGCAATTTTGATTTAAAATAATAACATTACTTATAAATATAATTAAATTCCTCTCAATCTTATGAGAGATGGAAAAATAAGAATAGCTACAAATTCTTTGCAACTCCTCCTATCAGGAGGTGGAGTATATTGAATCTGGACTTGGTTAGTTGACCTGCTTTGCTAAAAGAACATTAGTGAACATCAAATAGCCAAAGATTTAAAAAACATTTGCATGATGGGGCCTACCCTGTCCCTTGCTACTTTTGATAGTCAGTGACCGTATAAAGAAGCTCAAGCTAACCTACTGGACAAATATGTTTCAGCCACTCCCATCATACAGCCAAATGCTAGATGTGTGAGTAAGGAATTCCAGGATCCATCAGCCTCTGAGAACTGAATACAGGGACATCAGTGGCAGAACTACCAAGCAGAGCTGAGCCCAAATAGTCAAGTAAAAAAATAATTAGTTAATAACTAATTATGTTTTTTTAATAACACCTAGTTTTGGAATAGTTTTTTTTTTTAATGCAGCAAAAGCTAACAAATATATACTCCTGCTCAAATGTATATATGTATATATATATATACACACACACACACATAGCTGCAATGTATGTCCACAGAACTAATGGTTTGCATTGTTTTTGTTATCTCAGTTATAATGAAAAGGTTTTAGGATAATGTACATTGCGAATGATGTAATAACAAGCTCCATTTGCATGATTAAATGGCAAAGTGAACAAGATACACTTTCAATTAATATAAAGATTCTATACCTTTTAGTTCAAAGGAATTTTTTTTCAGGAATTTTACACAGTAGTAAAAGACATAAAAATCAGATATATAGTTCACTGTGAATTCAATAAGACAGTCATAAAATCAAGATTCTTCTGGTTTATTTTAAAAATTAGCTTTTATTATTTAGGGAAGCATTTAATAGGCTGTTTTATAATCTGATTATTTGATACATCTTCATGAAATGTATCAATTTCATGAAAAGTATCTGATTTTTAAATTCTTTCCATTTATGTGATTGTCACATACATGTTAATTCCATGTACCCTTTGGTTAAAACATACTTAGGTACATGTGACCTATGTCAAAACTATTACAGTGTTCATGTCAATAAAATAACTGTCTGCTTTCACCTCAGACATTTCACAGTCCACCACCAACATGTTACCCAGTTCTAACAAAATCAACATATTCTCTACTTCTCCAATTACTCTCAGCACACAAATCTCTTGTAAAGGTTTATCAATCTATTTGATTTCAGCCTGCATCTACCTACAGTGAAACAGCATGCTGGGATTAAAAAGTTTATAGCTATCACTACATGAGGTTTACCATTCTGCTGTGACAAGCCTTATACAATAGGAAAAACCCCCAAACACATGACTTGTCCATAATCTTGCTAGAGAATTGAAAGGCAAAATCCTGCAGAGATTATTCACCTTTTACCCAAATGTTTATCTAACCTTGTCACTTAAAGAATGGCAATATATTCCAATGAAGGAAACTGAAAGTTGCCTAAAGTAGCTTACAAAGTTGCATGTGACATATTAAGAATGCATTTCTTTGAAATGTTCCATTAAAAAGTCTTCTAGCATATGCACAGTCACAGTGCAAAGTTTTTTTTTTTTTTGTTATTGTTGTTGTTCATTTTTTGCTTCAACAATAGTTTAAAGAGACCAACCACAGGCTTCTGTTTACATTTAACTTTTGTGAATTTAAGATTTGATGTGGTTACAAGTTATCTTTCAGAAGCATAAATGAACTAACAGCTGTGCTGAATGAAAATAAAAGCAATTCTGCTAATACCGAACTGCTATATAATGCGCGACATTTTTGTCAAACTCAACTTTTCCAGCAGTTTACAAATGAGGCCCAGAATTCTAAGTGATATGTATCTGGTCCTTAGGGGACAGAGAGGAAGAAAGGGGGTGGAAAGATATTTTGGGGGGCAGACAAGGTATAGTAGGGTGGGTGGGATCATGGTTTCCTGTTCTGAAATTCTTTGAGAAATTTCTAAGCTAAAAGACCCCTGTGAGTTCCATGTCAGAATAATCAATTCTGAAAACATACTTCACATGTGACAGCCACATGTGAAACACTTTCACAAACTCCCCCCATACACTTCCTCTCCACACAGATGTGCTGTTAAGTAAAAGACATTGCAGGGAGAATCATTGTGCATTTTATGTACTAAGCTGGGCTTAACCCATTTTTCTCATTGCATCCTTGCTACCAAGGGAATTATCACAGAATCCCTCTCTTAGGAAAAGTTCTACTAACCTCAGCAAATTTTGTTTTTGGGAGTGGCCATTCATAACGAACAGAATTTAACATCCATCCACAACCAGTTAACAATTTGAGCACTTCTGACGTGGCCCATCACTCACTAAGTAACTGGCGGTTCCTGCCCAAGATGACCCAGAGGCAGGAAGCATCTCAGGGTGGGAATCTTTCTCCCAACCCTTCCTTCCAATGGTAGACAATGAGGGTAAAAATTTAATAAGGTACATCCTTCTAGGGGCAACTGAACCTCACCTAAGAGTGTTGTCCAGGTGGCAGGGGCACCGCTTGTCACACTTGATGCCATAGAGTCCTTCAGGACACAGACGGGCCTCACAGTGCTCGCCAGCAAAGCCTGCTTCACAGAGGCATGAGCCGCTCACATGGTAGCACTTCCCTCCATTGACACACCGGCAGGTCTCAGCACAGTGAACTCCATACATGCCAACGGGACACTGGTCCTGGCATCTGTAACAGGAAGCAGAAATGAAGATAGATCAGTTTGTGCCAAGTGTAAAGAAACAGTTCAGATAGGCTTTGCTGTGTATAAATGGAAATGACATTTTGGATTTTATATTTATTTAGCAATTGTCCCTTTACAAGAAAAGCATTATGATGAATTATTCTGGCAACAGACAGTAGTAACAGCAGGCTGACCTGGTCAAAGTAGGAACAAGACCAAAAAATTTATGAGTTTGGGACATATTTTACACCTTGAACTTACTAAAGGAAGGCATAACAATTTAGTAAGTGCCAGGAAAGGGAGAAAATAATTTGCCCAAATGTTAGTGTCAGCCCATAATTAGGAAATATGAAATTTTTCATTTCCTACCCATTGCAAAGGGAAATTTTTGTAGTGAAATTGAAACTAATTTAAAATTCTCTCAGCTTGGGCCTCCCCGGTGGCGCAGCGGGTTGAGCGCAGCGCTGTGAAGCTGTCTGCAGCCTCTGCAGCGCGGGTTCTATTCCCGGCAGGCCAGGGAGATAACAATATGGTGCGACAGACCACTCCTGTCTTGCCCGCTGCTCCCCTCAGCAGTGTATTTTGTCAGTCTGCCTGTTCTGTTCCCCGCTGTCTCTGGTGAATCCTCTCACCCTCCTGCGCCTCTGGCCTGTACCCCAGCTCTTGTATAAATAAATAAAATCTTAAAAAAAAGAGAAAGTTTCAATGTTTAAAAACAAAATAAAACTCTCTCAGCTTTAGTGTTGACAATTTTCAATCTCAGTAATATGTCTGCTCTTTTCAAAGCTGAATGGTAATCATTGGTCCCTTATTTAGAAAATTATGTAACTAATATAGTCTCCCTTAGAACTGGAGAAGTCTGAGCTATTGAAATCTAGTGTCCCTGGTTCCAAACTGAGGAGCTCTTGATAGGATGTTTTGGGGAAGGCTTGTATTTCTCTAAAGTAAAAATTTTGTGAAGTGTGGTAATGTCCTCTGTTGGGAAGTAGGAGTGCTAAATACAAGAAAAAAATCGGAGCTCAAAAATTAACTTACTATTTAAAAGAAATGATATTATTCCCAGAGCAAGGATATGTTCTAGATAAGTTGGAACAGGTGGGAAGCCAGGTTGCTGGAGGGAATCATAATAGAAAAAAATTATCATCACTCCATGGAAAACATGGAAAAGCTCCATGGAAAGTTTTCAGGCCAGCCTAGTTTCGCTTTAACTAGGAAAGGTGGCTGGATGGGGCGCTCTGCGGCAGGAGTGCTTTCCCCAAGGGAGGGGGAGACAGAATCTCATCTGGTCAAGTATTTGGCACAAGTAGGGTGTCCTTTGTGAATCTCAGCAGCCACTTCCCGAGTGACTATCAAGTCATGCCACACCCAGAGTCAGTGATGTAGACCAACACTGCACTTTTCATATCAGAATAATGCAAAGAGCAAGGGCATGACAACTTAGTCAAGCCTGCTTCAAAGCAACGGCAAAGAGGCTGAAAAGCAAACATTTTTGCTTTTCCACAAGGCTTTGCTTATTTTTAATGACAGGGTATGATCACCAACAATACCAGGCTTAGGCCGGATTCTATTTAAGCGTAGAGGATAAATCTTGAGAAGTCTTTGATATTTTTCTGGTTCACTCTGGCTCTAGCATACATATAATATAACAAAGACAAGGAAAGGGATCTCCTGCATATTTAGTTTCTTAGACTCTAGACATCTTTAGGAGTGGTTGTCAATAGGTAATGTCTTCAAATCAGCTGCTCAACAAACCATTAGAAAAATTCTGGAATAACTGAACTAATATGTAGCTTGAAATCAGATGTGTGCTTTAAAGTTACCTATTGAGTACACCTATTTTAGGCTATAGTAGTTTTATTTTTTTTAAGATTTATTCATTTATTTATTTACTTATATATGCATACAAGAATTGGAGTGCAGGCCAGAGGTGTGGAAAGTGAAAGGATTCACTAGAGACAGAGTGGGGAGCAGAACAGACAGATCAACTGAAATACACTGTTGAGGGGAGCAGTGGGCGAAACAGGAGAGGTCTGCTGTGCCATGTGGGTTAGCTCTCAGGCCGTGGATTGAACTCATGTTGCAGTGGCTGCTGATAGCTTCATAGTGCTAAGACTTAACCTCTTGTACCACCAGAGGTCCCCTATAGTGGTTTAAAAGGTACTCTATTTTTCACTTGTAAGCAAATTTCATAAGCCAAGTCACTTAGTCTATCTCTTAAAGGTGTAAACTTTAAAGAAACAAATGCTAAGGTACAAAATTGGGTCTTATTGTGGGCTCTGCTGAAGGCTGGCAAGACAACTTTGCAAGCTGTTCATATTATCTTGCACATCAGTGCCAAAAAGAAAAAGATAAATAAGGTAAAATAATAGTGCTTTCTTTCTCTTACATGGACTTGAAAACAAACCCAAATGCTAAGTTTTGGATACCATGATTTCAATTTAGTGAGTGAGCAGGGTAGAGATCGAAGGCCTGGGAAACTGTCTGTCACCAAATGACAGGGAACCATGGTGTATATTTTGTTTTATCTTGGCTGAGACTCCCCTTTCTCTGGGAAAACAAAATCCATAATAGCTGGTCCTGACCCATATTTACCTTTCCAGCTTATAATTAAACATAGTACTAGTTTGTAGCATAAATGGCAAAAAGCCATTTGTCTTTTTCTTTACTAAAGTAGCTATTATATAAAGCATGGTTAATGCTCCCACTGTTCTTGGTCTGTGTTGCACTTGTAAGAGAATCCTATTAATAAGTATATCTGTCTCCATCTACTAAATCCAAATGGTAGGACATTTTCCTAGAAGTACATATTTTCCTTCTCAAAAATAAATACAATCATAGAGTAACCTGAACCTTTTTTGATGCATTTAATTAAAAGCCTTTGTCAGAGACACTTTTAGGGGGGCGGGGGCGGGAGGGGAGGGATTGGGGTCAGAATGGGGGGGCTACAATTGTATGGGGAATATAAAAATAAAATTTATTATTTAAAAAAAAATAAAATAAAAGCCTTTGTCAAGTAGGCTTATTTCTCTTTTTGGCCCCTTAATTGAAAAAAAAAATCATCATTTCCCAGTGAATTAACGTAGCTTTTATTATACCAACTAAGAGAAGAAAAACTATCTTAGGAACCAGTAAAGGAGGAAATCTATTTTCTCAGGCAGAGTGCAGAAAGGTTGATAAAGATACAGCAGTAACCACAGCGGAAATGTGAGAATTTGGAGGTTTTTTTTTCCAGATTTCATATCATGCTCTGGAATTGGAAAATGTGGATAAACATAAATAAAAATAAACTCAAAAAACATGACACTAATTCCCAAACCAGTGAGGAGCACAGGCTTGTTTTAATACCATTTTTTTAAAAAAGATTTATTTTTTTAAATCCTGTACAAAAACTGGGGTATAGGCCAGAGGCGTGAGAGGGTGAGAAGATTCACCAGATACAATGGGGAGCAGAACAGGCAGACAGACCAAAGACACTGCTGAGGGTAGCAGCGGGTGAAGCAGGAGAGGTCTGCCGCACCATGTGGGTATCTCCCTGGCTGGCCGGGAATTGAACCCACACTGCAGAGGCTGTGGACAGCTTCACAGCACTGCACTCAACCTGCTGCACCACCAGGGAGGCCCTGTTTTAATACCATTTGAGTTATCATCTTGTGTCTCATTTCAAACTTAAAAAAAAAAGGAAGCAAGTCGCATATATGGGGTGGCAGCTACCCCTTTCTCCCTTGTCCTTTTGAGCATGTCCTTCCCTAGAGTGACCGGAATAACTGGCTAAAACATGACTCAGTGTGAAAAAAAATCACATTCCTTATTAGAGTTGGATCAATGGATCACTTGCCTGCCTTCCTAACATCTGGATTGCTGCTCTGGAGGAAATATAAAAAGAGCTGGGAAAAAGTCAACTTTTCCACAGACGTGGATGCAGGAAAAGTGTTCCTCATTTGAAGAACAAGCTGCATCTTATGAATTCCTGTCTATAATTTTGAACCTACCTCCTTTAAACCACATTCTTCTTCAGTTTCAGGGTAATATGGAACACAGGCAGGGAAGGACAGTCTTGGGTTAACAGAGTCCATAATTAATCAATAGATCTCTCCATCTAGCTAACAGTTAAGGAAAACCAATTAGGTGCATGGACCCATGCTAGGCCATCAAAGGCCCCAAAGAGGTTCCTTGACAACCCATTAGCATTAAGAACACCCTGTTTTTCACAGAGTCTAAATACCCTGGTTACCAGAGGGAACAGAGGGGAGAGAAGAGAGAAGGAAGAGGAAGAGAGAAGGGAAAGGAAAGGAAAAGAATAGGGCATTGGATGGGCGGTTTGGTGGAGGACGCATAAGGCATATGCACACATGGAGGAGTAAATATTTAATGCCAAAGATATATGGATATGGAAAGTACTTACAAATAAATAAAGAAAATGAAATATCAAAAAAGAGAGAACATTCTGTTAACCCCTTCAGAAGACTTTTTGTGAGGATCTGTAAACTTGACTGTGTTAAATTACATTTCCTCCCACATTGTCCTCTCAATCTTTCCACAAACCCTAAAGCCTATTATTTGGACATCCCATTGCTGCTTTGTCTGCCTCCAAGGTGCCTGTTTTGTTTTTTCTGTTGGCTCTCTGGCTGGGAAGGCAGTCGCCACATCCTGTGGATGCTTTCCTGGCAGCTGCCTGCGGTGGTACCTGCGCCTACAGGCAGCAGCCCGCTGGCCTAAGCTGTCTGATCAAATTACACTGACTTCTTTCTCAAAACAGGGCAAGTGACAAATGAAGACCCCTCCCTCACACTGCCTTCCCTACACCTCCCACCACAAATTACCCCATAACCATTCTTTATATTTCTTTTCATAGTGACAAATGTCCTGTGTGTGTGTGTTTGTGTGTGTGTGTGTGTGTGTGTCTACTCTAGAATCCAGATGGGGTTAGCATAATTGAAAACAGGAATCAAGTCATCAGTTCATCATAAAAACAATAGTTATAAGAACAACTAAAGAAGCAAGTTCACCTTCAATGTCCTTCTCTTTAGCTTTCTGCCTTATCCTTATTTAATACGACTGCATAACTGAATAACTTTAGTGTGTGCTGAAAGGAATACTATAACTAACTAATAAGTCACAACATTAGACCAGAATTTTAGAAAGGTAAAAGTTAGAGAAGAAGGTTTAAAGAATTCCCTAGTTCAGAGGTATTACCCGGAAATAATGATAGCTGATATTGTAGTTTCTCAACATGACCTAAATTGCTAAGCACTAATATTTATACAGTTCATATCAGTCACTTAACTACAGTAATAGATAATAGTTGTGTGTTTCAGCATTGTTCTAAATGATTTAATGTACTAATTTATTTAATTCTTGTAACAACCCTGGAGGAAAGTACTATTATTTGAGCATTATAGATGAGGCTATTTCTAAGTACACAGGATCCAAAAACTTTATTTTGGACAGTTTACTTTTCTGCCTTCAAGTCTCTTTCCTCTAACATTATACCCACATCTAGTGAGCTTCATTATCTAGTCTTCCACAACATAACACATTAAAGAGCAAATTAGAAGATTAGGGTGAACAAAGTTCTTTCTGGTAACACTTCACCATTCTAATAATAAAACAAAAAGTCAAGTGGTGGATGTAAGAAGCACACGAGCACAACCATTTGCTCTTATTTCATATAAAAACAAAAAACCTTATAAGTTCCACAGGAAATTTCTCCATCACTACCACACAATAACAAGACTGATATTTTTAACAGAATACTGAAGATTTTTTTTAAAGATTTATTTATTTATGCATACAAGAACTGGAGTACAGGCCAGAAGTGTGGGGGGTGAGAGGATTCACCAGAGACAGAATGGGGAACAGAACAGGCAGACTGACTGAAATACACTGCTGAGGGGAGCAGCGGGTGAGTCAGTTGAGGTCTGCTGCACCATGTGGGTAGCTCCCTGGCTTGGGATAGAACTCATGCTGCAGTGGCTTCAGATAGCTTCATAGGTTGTGTCTTAACTCCTGTGACACCAGGGAGGCCCTTTAAAGTTATTTTAAGAAGCTAACTTTAGCTATCGTTATACCCAACATATTTTTAAAAGATACCTAAATATACATCCCATTTTAAGTTAAATCTACAATTTTTTAAAAAGATTTATTTATTTATGTATATAAGGAATGGGTGAAGGCTGGAGATATAGGGGTGGTGGGTGAGAGGACTCACCAGAGACAGAGTAGGGAGCAGAACAGGCAGATCTCCTAAAATGCACTGCTAAGGGGAGCAGTGGGCAAAATAGGAGAGGTCTACTGCACCATGTGGGTGAGCTCCCTGGCCAGCAGTGGATCAAAGTCATGCTGCAGTGGCTGGCCATAGTTTGATAGCACTGTGTCTTTAACCCCTGTGCCACCAGGCCCTATCCACAAATGCTTAAAATATAACTGTTCTAGACACTCAACTGTTTAGAATGATATCATCCTGGGTTCTGAATGGTATTATTATTATTATTATTATTATTATTACTATTTTAATGTTTTTTTCCTAGTATCTTCAATTCATTATATCTATGATTCAGATTCTATGCACTGAGTAGGGCTAGAATCTGTCAAATACATTTATAACTTACTGATGTTTCTGGAATATTATAGTCACAGACACATGACATCCCAGGTGCCCCATGGAAAATCCCAGCTTTCCTTTCATGCCATTACAAATGGTCAAAGAAATACCAGACTGTCCCTTACCGTTCTCCTATGTATCCTGGACCGCAGTGACATTGGCCTGTGGTGGCATCACATGTCCCTCCATTATGGCACTGACATTCTTGAGAACAGTTCTTTCCAAAGCGACCCTCAGGGCAAGGCTGACCACACACTGTGCCCTGCATTGAAAAAGACTTGGAAAATTAGATGGGCCTCCAGCCAGGGAAGGGCTGAAGGACAGAAGACAAAAAGTGAGGAAACGGAAAAGTAGGGAAGAGGATATGGGAACAGGGCTGCAAGAAAATTAAATGAAGGGGATTTTAGAACACACAAGCTCTGCTCACCATCTTTAAAAATTTAGAAATTTTAAATTGATTTACTTATTTGATAAGCCTAAAACTCAAAAGAGACATTCAAATATGGCAGCATAGTAATCTTAAGAAATAGCCATATTAAAAAACTGAAGCTTAAGATAAAATTGCATCCAATTATTATGGTAACCTAAGGAATTTATAAATCCTCCTAAGTATTCTTCCTTGTGTCTTACACGTACAATAAGTCAACAAAACTTATTGAGCATCCGCTACATAAACAGCAACATCTGGTGCAAATGGAATATCCAAATGCTTTACCATATGCTCCTTAGAAAATACACATTACATTGGCTTTGCTTCTTATATTCAATAAGATTGAAATTCTGTGTACCCGAATTAACACCAACATTGCCTAAGAAATACTTCTATAGGAATGAACCTAGACAGTTTATTTTAGAAGAAAAACACTTTTGTTTTCAGCAAAGTGAACAAAAATTGTTGAGCCAAGATAAATAAATAGGAAAGCTTATTTCCTGGGAAGAAAAATCAAAAAACAACTTAGACATCTCTCTTCACCCTGGGGGCTGTACATCTTGTCAGGAACCATTATTATATTTATTCCAAGCCTATGTGGATACAAATGAGACACTATACCAATAAGTCAATGAAATACTCTACTATTTTCTACTTCACTTGACTCCATTAACTCAGGCTAGTAGCTTCTGCACTATTTATTCAAGTTATTGTTAGACAAACAATATACCCAAATAACAGGGATTTCTTAACATCTTTTTTAGTTGGAAGCAGTTGCTTTGTCCTCCTTCTTGCTAAAAAAAAATGCAGACTATGGGCACTCTGAAATTGGAGGCTAGCAAATACCAGATGGTTTTGTAAATGTTTATTCTGGATAGCATAAGAAAATACATTTCCTCTAACTCCTGGCTACCCACAAAAGGCAGTTGGTGTGCTAATTAAGTCTCCTCTGGTGGCTTCTAGCAATCTATAAACCGGGAATGTTCTTCCACAGACTCTTGGAACTGAAAAAGCCTTTGAGAGATGATACAAATCAACATTGAATGGAGAATCATCTATATGCCAGGCCCAGTGCTAAGTGCTGAGAATCAAAAGTAAGGTCACAACCCTCAATTAGCTCACAAAGTGGTTAGGGGGACATATGTTCTAGCACAACTCCTAGACCACCTGACACTTAACAATCCAGCTTGAGCATAGTCCAGAGAGACAATGCCTTTGTAATTTATAAGTAATTTAGATTGGGCTGTCCAACAGGATATTGACAAATATCGACACATGTGAGGTACGGTCAAGTTTTGGGGAAAATCAGGGATGGTAGTTAAAGGCATGGGTCTGTAGGGGATTACCAGAGATGATTTATAGGGTGGAAAGAGAAAGACAAGACTGAAACCTAGGAATACTGTAATAAAGTGGGAGGAAGAAGAGAGGGCTATCAGAGTAGCAGAGGGCAAAGAGATTTAGGAAGGAAGGTGGATGAGCAACAGTGTCAAAAGCTTTGGAGAAGTGAAGTAGCATGAAAACAGAGAAGTAATTACTGGATTTGGCAATTAAGAAGTAAGTCACTTATAAGCCCTCAAAAGCAACTTCAGTACAGCTCAGAGATGGAACGTGATCATGATGCAAATCCTTTAGTTTCTAATGAAAGAGACACTGATCATTCACCATTCACTCTCTGTCCCTAAGCAGACTGATACACAAACCAACCCCAAAAGATAAAAAGCATTATTTTTTACTAATTTCAGAGAAATTAGTAACACATAACACAGTCTGTGAATACTACATAGTAAAGTCTGTCATGGTCAAAATTTGGGAAGAGTAATAAGTTAGAGTTTTCTCTCGGATTACCATATTAAAGGCGCTGAGAAGTTCTGCAATGCTTTGAAACCTTGCTTTGCCTCAATGTGTCTCTGGATTTATATGATCAGGTAACTTTTTCACATAACACATATCCTTAGCATACTTCAAGTTCAAGGTTTAAATGCCTTCTGATTTCTCTGGACTAAAGAGGTTCACTTGTGAAACAGTTCAGTAATTTCAATTTGGGGTCTTTAACCACCAACATAATTACTAGTGGATGCTAGAGTCTTCCATATACATTTTCACTTGAGTTTCCTAGAACAGGATGACTGTTTAAGTGACTTTGGGAGGCAGAATGGGAGCTTACCAGCCAGCCAGAAGGACAGGAGCATTCTCCAGTGACATGATGACATACTCCTCCATTTTGGCAGGGGCATCTCTGCTCACACTGTGGACCATGTTTGCCAGGGGGACAAAGATCCTCACAGCTAAGGGATTAAGGTCACAAAGGACATTGTTATTTACCCAACCACATGAATCTCAGATTCACAGACACAATAGCACCCAGGGCCCTAAAACAGACAAGCTTTCTCTGTCCAATATTGTTGATTTCATCAATATCATGAGCATTAACCAAATTGTGTGGAATAGTCTCTGAGGGTCACCTAGCTCTTCCCTTTGTTTGTGGGGGGGTGGTATTTTCTAATGGAACAGTTTTAGGTCGAGGAGAAACTGTCTAATCTGAGAGTACCAAGAGCAAATCTCATTGGAGAAACACTTCTTGGTGACAGGAACTTTCTATGCAATTTTAATAAAGTCCATGTGTGTTGTATTTTACATTCTACTTCTGTTTGTGGATTTGTTCTAACTTCAAAAGAGACTGAACATTTGCATATTACCTGTCTGTGCACATATACTACATCAATTTTCAGCATTCTCCTGATTGAATAGTCTCCATTCTTTTAACTCCTGGCCGCCCTTATGGCATGAAACTTTTCTAAGTCCTTAATTATCTTTTTTGCTCTTCTGTGAAATCTCTCCACGTTTCCTAGCCCATTCAATGGTGGCCTTGACATACCCCATAAAAGCAATATTAACAACTAAATAGTTTGAGATGATCATTCTTCTGAAAATTCAGGGCTTTCTAGGCTAATGAGATTTTCTTCTTTAGCTGTACTTTATAGCAGTTAACACTGTCGGCAGGAAGTATTTACCTAATCAACTACATTTTTTCAAGTTTTAGTTCTGTGATTTACAAGTGTAATTTTCTCAGTAAAGGAAAAAGATTTTTCTATTCCTTACTTTTTTTTTATTTTACAAATCCCACCTCTTATTCTGCTTGCAAACACAAACAAATGGAAGAACATCCTTAACAAAAGATAAAGCACTGGTTTTGTTTCAAGTTCTCCGGAAAAAAATTAAACTGTGTGCACATATCTACACAGATGTGACATGTATACTTTTATATCCACAAAGCAACAAACATATCCATAAGCACTAAATAACCCAGTTAGTCTTTTATCATGGAACATTGTGCCCCTTTCCTCTCTTCTAGGGCACTGAACTACCAGCATCACCCAGCGAACTTGTTGCTTCACAGAGCAGAGCAACATGGACCATCAACAGCCAGCGCTGTAAAATGAATGCAGTTTTGGAAGAATCAAAGGGAAACCTCAAATCTATCCCAAAAGTCCCGAACACTGCCATTCAATACAACATGCTGACCCTCTCTGTCATTGCCCTGCGGAAAGGAAACATGGAAGTTGGTCTTTAGACATCCTGGGGAGTGATGTTTAGGGTTCAAGCAGGAGCACCCAGTGGTCACCCCTGCTGATCTCTGTCTCTGCACCTGGAGACCCAGCCCATCAGTAACTCTTCAGCAGTGATGGGAACAGACACAGTAATACAGAGGCAGTGGCAGCATGAATGGACAGTGCGGGTGGGCTCTGCCACACTGCAATGCAGCAGGTTACTTACAAGGCTCCGGTGTATCCTGGTGGGCAGCGGCACTCCCCCGTGACATGGTCGCAGGTGGCTCCATTCTGGCATTGGCATCTCTGATGACAGTCGTTACCGTAGGTGCCCTGCTCACAGCGATCCTCACAACGCCAACCCCGGAAGCCTGCAGCGCAGTGGCAAGCCCCCGTAATGGGGTTGCACAGAGCCCTGTTTTTGCACTGGCATCGGCTGCTGCAGTGAGGCCCCCAGTGATCACCGTCACAGGCTGAGGTGGGGAAAGAAACAGGGGAGGGCATCAGCATGTGGGTGTGGGTAGCGGCAATCTCCTCAGAGCCAACTGTTCTCTCTCCTTGGAAAGAATGGCTTGATGACACCCTTCATGGTCATTCTTGACCTGGGCATTGGGGCTCCAGCAGCAACTTGTCAAAATGCTTCACAAACTAGTGGTGTTCAGCACTAATGGGTCACTTCTTATCACTCTGTTGCTTAAGCATTACTCCATTTTTCAACTCCATATTAGCTCAACCTGTTCTCTGCACCTCAGTTTCAAGTGCTAAGAGTACCTGGCTAGGGGATGGTGAGAACAGTTGTAGGGGAAGAGACTGCAACTTAGGTGGTTGGTCATGTCATGGATGGGTTTTTATGCACACTAAGGACTTTGGGTTTTATCTTGTGGACAACGGATTAATAGTAAAGGGTTTTTAACAACTGGAACAATATAGATTTGCCTCCTGGTAGGTTAGCTGGCTACAGTGTAAGGAGACAGAAAAGAAGGAGGCCACAAAAGAGCAGGAGTAGATAAGAAGTTCAGTGACACAGGCAGAGATCACAAAAACAAAGACAGAGAGGAAGCCCACAGCAGAGCTACTGAGGAGTGGACTAACCCCGCTTCAAGTCTGAGCTAGGACACTCTAAAACGAAACTGAAGATCTGCTTTCAAGATTTTAGTTAAAATATGTGTAACTGGTAGGAAATCAGAAAAAGCAGGAAAAAATTAACAAACATGTTTAAATTCACCGACTTTAAGAAATAAGACAAACATAAGACTGAAAATTAATAGCAAATAAAAAGATAAGGCACATGAAACCTGATAAGACAAAGACAGAAAACAGCATTTGAAAGAATTTGAAGTGCAGTTTCAAGGAAAGGAAGAGGATCTGCAATTCAAATCGATGAGTAGGAAAAGGAGAGCAGTGGAAAAGGAAAAATACCTCAAAGCAAATACTCTCAAAATTATAAAGGATGACAATAAGCAAAAACTCCTCTCAATATGCATTGCCTACCCAGCCATGCACTTATTTATTAATTAGATGCTATAAAAATCACTGGGGAAGATGCACCCTGCCTAGAGCTCTTTAGGATAAATTGCTTTTATGATAAAAAAAAAGTTTCATTTCATAAAATTTTCTAACTTCAACAGATCTCAAATAAACCATTAAAATAAGTACACAGCAAACGCCTTATTAGAAGTGCAGGATTCATCTTCCAATACCAGAAGTTACCTTTTATTTGATAATATCAAAAGGTTTAAATGAATATTTCTGGTTTGAATCAGTATGACTTGGGTCTCATTAGTACTTTAATAAACATGCTTTAACACAATTAAAAACAATGAGAGAGAATTATTGAACCAAAAGCAGATCAAGAAAGCAATTACTTAAGAACTTACAATCTTCTTTCACAAAATAAGATTCGGTGGCATTTCCAAGAGGAGATTGAAGCCTAATTGCTATTCATGTGAGTTGTTTCTTTTATTGCCTATGGATATGGGCAAAGATTTTTTTTTCAATTATAACTCTTTCAATATAGGATCTATTCTTAAAAGCAAATGATGTGGTGTGTGTCTTTAAATCCTCTCAGCTATCTATTCCAGGTAGAGATGACTGTTCTGCTCTTAGAATCCACCAAAGTAAATTAAACAGTCTTTTGTAACTTCTTCCCTAGTTTATCAGCTTACATAAGCCAACTCTATTATTTTATAATTTGACCTTTTTTCCCTCATATTCTTCTTATAGTATAGTCAATCCAATTCATCGCTGTTCTCTAATTATAGATTATTTTATTCCTGAACCAGGAGTACAGCCTTGATTCTGCTCTTTGCTAGACAAAATATTACAACCCCAATACTTTTACTTATTTTTTAAAACCTTATTCAATTTTGCTCATCTTTTTTTGCTGAACCCTCTCCAAAGTTTCCATATTCCTCTCAACTTCTGGGAATTCAGATATTAGGTTAAATCGGGTTTTTTATTTTCCCTTATGTATAGTGGAGGATTTAATTGAGTCACACAAAAAGCTATTTTAGTTAATAGTTACCTTGATAAAGACATCAACATTATGTCAAAAGCATTTTTTTTAAAATTCATCATGGGTTGGAGTTCTTTTTCCCCAGAGTGACACTATGGGCCCCAAAGTATATGCTCTACAGATTATGTTTATAACATCAGGAGAGTGGTAGGAAGTACAAAGTAGGCAGGACTGGTCGTTCTTCCCCAGTCATGACCCATTTCCATCCTATTCTAAAACTTCTCTCCCAGCATAACAGTTAGCAGAGCACAGTTCTATTTTCTTGAGATCAGACAAATAAAACCAACCCCCCCCCAAAAAAAAACAAGACACTAAAGATTTCTTCTCATGACAGAAAAAAGTTTATAGCAGAAATCAATAACTATTAGCATCAAAGGCAAGGCTTTAGGCTGTTAAAGATATATTGTCATGTGGACATGGTTAATTTCCCGGCTGTAGTTGAGCATTGTGGCATGCTTTGAAGTGACAGCTTCCCTCTTTGGGGCTGTATTTTCCTAAAAGACCACTGATACAGGGGCCTCACAATGTGAATACTGAGTACCCACATGGACTATGCTGAGGGAAAATCCACATACAGAAGCTCACAGACAAAGAGTCAGGAAGCAAACAAGTATGTCACAGAAGCTGAGCTTGAATTTAGACATCATTGTGACTTCCTTTCCTTTCTTCATATGTTATATTTAACATCTTCAACACATTCATTAGATGAGTCCCAGTGAGTTACACACTTTATTGCACAAAAGCCACTTTCTTTCCTGGTTACTACAAATGCAAGGGTGTGTTGACTGTCTAGTAACAGGCAACTATAAACCAGTGTGTCACACTACAGAGGGGAAGAAAGAAGTAGGATCAAAACAAGGGTGGTGGGAATTTTATGGGGACTGTAAACAAGATGAAAATGCATATATTGTACAAAAATGGAAAATGATATAAAAAGTATAAAAATAAAAAATTAAAAAATAGATAAGAGACAACCTTCATTTCTTATGTTTAGTGCCAAGTTTGGACAATTATCCTGAACACCAGTGCTGGATTTGGAGACATGGTTTGGAGACAGTCTAAATGCAAATCATCTGATGATTTTACTTGTTGCTTCACTCAAATCTCAAGTGGCAAGTGTTTTACCCCTCATGAAAAAGTGCCCAGGTTGGTTATTCCAACCGACAATTTCTTCTAAAATATAGTTAACATGGAAATAGATAAAGCACAAAATTTGGCTCCAAGTTAAATTGAAAAGAACCCAAAGGCTAGTGAGAGAGTGAAGACTCATATTCAGTTTCTGGTTTCAGCTCTTACTGTACTAACAGCTAGAAATGGGCCATCAGATGCAACATGCCCAGTTTCATGCAGATGCTTCAGGAAACAAGACTAAAGAGAGTATCAGAATGGCATGGAGAGCTTGCTCTAAGAAGCCCTAATAATCAGTTGGAAATAAAAGGAATTTCAACCTACTGTGTATAATATCAGAAGCATACGACTCATACTTGACCCTTAGTGACAACTGGATCTTCTTATGAGAAGGGACTCACCCTGGAGCCTTTGTGGCAATAACTTCCAATGACTTCAGTAACCATAAGCTATATTCAACTGGGTACTTTAATTCACTCAATTGATAGCTCTCGGTATTGGCCATGTACCAGCCATGGTGCTAGGCCAAGAGTTCAAAGGAGAACAATAGAATGCACACTCTAGAAGCTCACAGTTTAAGTGCAGAGGCATCAGGTTATTAGACAATAAAATATCCTACTAAGGTAAGGAAATGCACTAGGTATAGTGAAAACACAGGGATGATATTTAATCAGGATTGATGAGTCTGGAAAAGCTTCTCTGCTAAAATGTCTAAATTGAGACTCAAAGGAAGAGCATGCCATATAAAGGGCCCATTACCATATTGGGCCCATTTTACCATTTTCATTCAAGAACTCCATTAGCCCAGGGGGTGGGGGGAGCGAAAGGGAGGAAAGGATGAAATAAATTTTCCCTAAGAGAAAGGAATGATGTTTACCATTAAGTTCACCTTGTTACAAAATTCATCAATCACTGCCTGATGCAAGAAGAGGGTATAAAGATTTAGAATTAGAACTGAATTCTTGCTGGGCCACAGTCATGTCACAGCTGTGGTGCTGAGCAAGTCCCCAACCCTTGTTAAATGTAATTTTATTTATGTAAAATGGGAATGGTGGAATGTACCAATTATTAAAAAAAAGCACTTGTTACATGTGATAAAGCACAAATCTAATAGCAGCAGAAATTTTATTCTATAGTTAACGCAAGAATATCCTACCCCAAGAGAAAGAACACTCTAGAAAAATATCCTCCAGTTGTACATGAAGCTGGAATAACATCCATTGACTTGCATTTTTTGTCTTTCATGAAATAATTACGTCCAACTTGATTTTCACAATGTGAATTTAAAAAAAACAAATTGCCCATAACTCTTCAAAAACAAATAAAAAGAGCTCTGGTATCACACCTTTCATCCACTTTTATAAAGCCAATTGGAAAAAGTTCAGACTTGCAGTGAAACCCAGTGTTACCTTACAAGCTAGTCTTAATTCCCAATTAAAAACTGGGTTTAGAAACATCGTACTTGCTGAAGATTTATGTATCTAGACACATAGACTCATACATGAAGTCCAGAAGTGTAGAAAGAGTAACTTAGAAGCAAACACACGAACTTTTTAGTAATCTTAGCATAAAGAAATAGATGATTATAAATAAAACCTGAGGAATCTTGCCTTACTAGTGCCTTACTACTTATCTATACCTACTGAAGTTACAGAAGCAGCTTTGAAGTATAAGATGCTTTCTTTATGGATGCTCTGGTGGTGAGCATGTATGAAAATATACATGTGAAGAAGTGTGAACCCAAACCTCTAAATCTTATACAGTGTTGTAAACCAACATGACCTAATTAAAAAATATAATTTAAAAAATAATAAAGCAACTGGTCTGAAT